AGTAACCCAATTTAGTCCCCCTCCCCGAAAATATTCATTCACTTTAAATTTACGATTCATATCGTTTACAAGAGTGAATGTTTCTTGCTCGAAAGCGTTAACTGCTCTGTTCTGAAGGGCGTAATATACAGTTAGAAAAATTCTTTATTAATTGCAATAATGTTCCAACTCTTCATGAAAATTACCAGCATTAATTTAAAATGCAGTAATTACTTATCTCCGAAAAAAAAAACCCCGTAACATTCAAACTAAAAACAGCTAGAAGTAAGGAGTCTATAAAAGTGTTCTTTTTTTCGGTCACCCGTATTTATTACATTAAAATAATATTTGTGCAGTTAGTTTAGTTAAATTGTTTAGCAATATTACTGTTCGTTATTTATTTCCTTTAAACAGACTCGGAAGGCTTCACGCAGAAGTTCTAAGTATTTATCTTGTCGTCAAATGGATCAAGGATAAAGGGACAGCATCCTCAGGGTATCTTATTTGTTCTAATTCTCTTTCTTCTCTTCACCTTTTGAACAGTATTACCAGCAGCGACAAATTAGTAATCAAAACCCTATTAACTGTCAGTTTGCTTAGAAATAGGAAAATTGATATCCGTTGTGCTTATGTGCATGCTCATCACGTATTCTGTGGAAAAGAAAAAGCTGATTTCTTAGCTAAAGATACCTTAAATTTACCCATTGATATCAATATTAGTATTCCAAAGAGCTACTGCAAATCCTCTCATTACAAGAAGCTTTTAGCTAAGTGGAATAAGGAATATATTTCATCTTGTAATACTGAGGGCACCAAAGTTCTTTTCTTCTATTTAGCATAGACTGCATTCCGAGACCTTCCTCTCTAATTAATTTTAAGTTTCTCATTTTTACCTTGTCACGGTGGATTTGAAAGTTACCTGTTTCGTTCCAACCTAAGATAAAATAATTTTATGTGAATATTCAAAAACAGGTACCTCAAGATGTGGAACATTTGATTTTTTTTATGCCTTACCTTTGATGGCCCTAGATTATGCTTGCAGAACGATTTAAAAATGTTTGGCGGGACTTGGCCGGTGAACTTACCTGTTTCGTTAAATCCAGATTGCTGTTTTCTGTTTTTATTCGTTTTATTTACGCGTGTAACACTTAATGTTTTAGTTAATTTACTTTTGTAAGCCCCGTGTTGCATATCTGTGGTGCAAGGGAAAATTGTATATGTTAAAAAAATCCGAATGCACAGGTAATAAGTCTAAACACAAAGATTTGAAATTACTTTAAATTAAATGTTGAAAATAATTCTTATGTATGAAGCCGAGAAAGTTATATTAACAGTACACTAATCGACTAAATTTCTACAGTAAATACAATCATAAAAGTGGTTGTTGAAATCATGAAAGGTATGGTAACGCTAAAGGACAAAAACATTACCATCAAAGAGGATGGGTCCAATTTCAGACATGGAATATGTGCTGTCCTAGTAGCTCGAGAAACTGACACAGAACCACTATACCCTTTGGGCAGTGCTAAATGCGTTGACAACAGATGGATGTTAGGCTTGAAATACTGATATCCTAATAACTTAATGCTTGAAAATGTTTGGAAAAATTTCGCTAAGAATGTTTGACTAGTAAAAAGAAACAATACGCTAAAAAATATTATTTCTGAAAATAATCTAACAGACGTCAATTTTTTTTAAGGTAAATGAGCCTGACAACCATGAGTTATCTAAGAATGTAACCCCACGTCGATTCATTCGGATAAAAGAGATTCTACTGTATTATCATATTTAAGATATAAGAAATAAAAATAATACTTCCGATCGAAACACACATAAAAAGTTCTGATAAATGTGAGTTGAAGAAATTCGATTCGAAAGCGTATGAAACAAAAATAGCATAAGACATACATCGATAAATTTTCTCCAGAAAAAAAATTATCTCTTTCCTTTTTTATTGGTACCCATAAAAACACTCCATTCATCTGCTCGAAGAAACAACAAATTCTTTCTCGAAAAGTATTTTTTGATTTCACCTCTGATCCGATTACATAAACAACAGGAAAAAAAGCATTCAAGAGAAAATTGTTGAATAAATAAAAAAGGTAACTTATTTTTTGGGTAATTATTTGTTTCATTCTATACGGCATACTATTATCGAAGCCCAAGGCAAATTCTTAACAAACAGTGGAAAAAATACAAAATAAAATACACCTGAGAAGAAATTTAAGATACTTTAACAGCATCTGAGAAAAAAAATTCCTAGACACTCCATTAGATTTATATTTTTGAAAACTTTGAACTGATTTAATTTAGCTCTCAAACTTTTTAGTGTTCATTACATCCTTAATGGAGTCTTTCAAAATTTACCATGTCTTTTATGCGCCTTGTCACGTATTCTCACTGGACGAAATTTTGCACACCGATGATTTCAACCCGCATATGGCTGGTGTATTTCGGTTTAGTTTAGAATTTACTACCTAAGTTTATTGCATTAGACTACATCAATGAAATATGGATTGATCATCGGTGATTGTTAAAACACTGTGATTAGAAAACAATAGGCTTCTATTTAACATTGCTTTACTAATCTGTTTAAATTTATAGCACCATCTAATATCGATGACTTAAGTATTGACTCTCGATATGTGTAAACCGTAGGTATAGAGACACGAGCGGTCTCGGCTGTCATCCATGTTGTTCGATTTAATTTCATTTTGATAATTTATGTAGATTATTACTGTATAATTTTAATAATTAATACGACAATGAATGCTTATAAAAAATAACATAATGAAATGCCGAAAAAAAAGGTTAAAAATGTTTAAATTTTGTCATTGAGTAAAATGGAAAGTAATTGTAATTCTAATGTGACTGTCTCTGACCAAAATGGGTACGAAAGCAATGTAATTAGTTCCAGCTAGCCCCGCTCACCCCATTTATATTGCTCGATTCCATACCTTTCACATGTAGCCAACCCAACCTCCATTCCGCTTCGTGGTAGAAAACCATATAAAACGATTGGCAGCCAATAATATTTTGAACATTGAATGAATTTATCATATGAAATATGTAGCTGTCTTTCCTAACAGTTATAAGGTATTTCTCCCGCCTTCCTAGTGTGCCTTTGTGGTGTAGTGGTTCTGCAAGCTAGGCCGTTATCCAGAGGTCCGTGGTTCGATTCCCGGCGAAGGCGTTTACTCATTTTTCATCTTGTCTGCTTCCAAAAATACCTAATGTCTCTAAAATATTAATTCAAATTTGTTTGTGTGTGGAATTTTTACTTAGTTTATATCTTTTAGAGTCGTTAAATGTAATTTTTTTATATATAAAAATGGATAAATAATTAAAAAGTAGATTTTTGCTCAGAATTAACTTCCATGGATGAAAACATTTCCTGTCTCAGGATTTTTGAAATCAAACGTAATTGAAATAATGTTTTTCCTTGTTGATGAGAGCACCAATGTAATGAAGCTTAGTCCTTTAAATCCTTTAAATCAGAGTCTTAGTCTTTTAAATTTAAGATGTACGGAGTTGTATATTAATTCATTATAAAATAATTAGCTTCAATATCTGACTGTAGTGCAATACTATTTCAGGAATAGAAGTTTTAGTACAGGCCTAAATCTTACCAATAGTCAAATATTTCAATTCACGCATTATTTTCCCTTTACGTTTTAGAAAAGCTGATATCCAAAAGAATTACGTTGCGTTAATAATGTTATATTTTGGGTTAAAATAGGTGTTAAGGCTATATTTATTTGAAATATATAGTGCAATAAGCAGTTCTTATTTTGTGATATTTTTCTGACCTTATCAATTCCAATTTATTAATTTTATGGTAATAAGCGGAAATACTGCAAGGAAGTAGAGAAGGAATTCATAGTTCTGAAATGGAAGGTTAGGGTTATTTCATTTTACAAAATTTTATTATGGAGTACGAGAAGGAAAAAGTTGGGAACCTCTATTTTAGCGTACCTCCAAAGAAAAAAAGTTGGATGATGCCAGACTTGTTGGTCGGTTAGATAATTGACTGGCAGGAGGGCTGTTAGTCTAAAGCAGAGATGTCTTCGCCCAGAAATTTCCAAAGAAAACTGGCTGGTAATATGTATGTCACACATGAGGATAACCACGAAAAACTCATGTAGTTAACTCATTTGAATAGATCTGCATGATGCAGGTGGGATCTGGGAATTTAGGAGGTTTATTATGAAGTTTACTCATTAGGTCTCTTGTGAATGATTCACTGAAGCAGAAACAATTTGTTACGAAAACTTAAACATTTTACTGACATTCCAGAACTGAGAGATTTTCTATTTCTTTTGATCTGTATCTAATTGATGCATAATTAATAGGTCCTAAATTATGTTCATTCGAAATCCAGTTAATCATTTTGAACCACTCTTTATATCTTAAAAAATACATGGCCTGTCTAGAAGTTTGTCAGAAAGCCCATAAAAACTTCACGTGATTAAATTCAGGTATACCAACAGCGTCACTTTTGAAATAGTCCCTGCTCTTTTCATGCAATTTTGCCAATGCCCAGTGCTGAAAACAGTGCTGCAGGTCTGTAGGAAATCTGAAGGATTTCCCATTTATATTGTTGTCCAGGGAATGAAAAGATGGTAGTCTGTTGGCGCGAGGTCTGGAGAGTTTGGTGGATGGAGTAGTTTCTCTCAGCCTAGTCGCTGGATGGTATCCTTGGCCTCCGAGCCACATGCGGCCTCGTATTGTCACTGGAGGAGGAGTATACCCTTACGATTAACCAATGCTGGCTCTTTATGCATCAGTGCCTGATGCACACGTTCCAACTGCTGCGAGTACAGGCCTGCCGTGATTGTTTGGCTCACTGGCAGGAGCTTATAGTGCACCACTTGGCGACTAGTCCACCAGATACAAAGCATGATCTTGCATGGGTGGAGAGAAGGTCTTGGCAGTGTGAGGCACAGTGTCCATGGTGACAAACAATGTCTGGAACCCATGGGTGTGTTATACTGGACCCATGTTTCATCTCTGGTGAGTACTTAATCAAGTATGGATGCATTTCGGTGCCGAGTAAGCAATGAAAAACAGGCTGCGACAAGCTGCTGGTTGTTTGCATCAGACAGTGAATGGGGTACCCACTTGCTCAGTTTGTATGTCTTTCCTATGAGGTGCAAATGGAGTCTGATCGTTTTATCAGATACCTGAAAGCGTGCAGCAAGCTCTTCACACGTTTGGCTAGTGTCCTTCTTTATGGCTGCTCTCAAGGCCTCGTCGTCCAGCGCTTGTGGCTTACCGCTTCGTGGTGCATCACTAAGAGACATATACCCTGACCAGAACTTCTGGAACCATTGCCTAGCTGTTCGTTCGTTAACGGCATCATTTCCAAAGGCCTGGCAGATTCGGCGACTTGATTCTGCAGCTGACAGGCCCACTTTAAAATCATACAGCAAAGAAGTCCGAACGAGCACCTTTGACGCGTCCATTTCAATCAGTCGCAATGAGAGTTATGTTTGAAATCTTAGGTCATATTCATATAAGTGGTATACGACCCAGAAGTCTTTACCACTCTATTTTTTCCTTTTGGAATTCTAAATGAAAAAGTTCGAAATCCAGAAATTTGGAATATCTGTACACAGCCGTGTTGGAACTCCAAGGTTGCGTTGGATCTAGTTTTGAGGCAGTATAGCAATTATAAGCAATATATTGACAAATCTTGAAGCGCTAAGGTAGTAGCGTCCATCTGTTGTGAAGTCTCGGCGAGGTCCAGATATCGTAATGTCAAGTATGCAGTAAAAGAAGAGGTGGTACATTTCAAGCGACTGTTCGTTCTTTCGAGCAATCGGAGAATAGGTCCTGGACCTAACACTATCAGATCAATTAATACCAGTGACCTATGACCTATGACCTATGACCAGTTGGTGTGACTATCCCACACCAACTTTCGTTGGTGTGGAATAGTACAACGTTTCTTGTAGTAGAAACACTTGGCAAAGCAAGCGGATAATTAGAGTATAATATCAAATTAACACTTCAGATATTTCATAAAGATTCTGTTAAGAACATTCTTCAGGTCAATAAGGAAGCGATTTAAAACATTAACTGCATCTGTTAATTTCCAATCGCTCAAATTGTTAAACAGCTACAAATTCGATAGATTTAACCCTGAACGTAAACTACTGTATCGAAGGATGGCTTTCTCATTTGCTAAACATGAAATTTTCAGCCAGATCCTGATAAATCCGATTTAGAATTGGATGACTATTTGGAAGAAAAGGAATCCTTGTACAAAGTGAAAATTTCCTTTTGAATATCATAAAAAAATATCATTTATTCATGACACCTTGCGAAACTGAAATTTCAGGGCCCAACATGTAACGCGCGGAAGATTGTTGTTACTTGCGGAGAGTAAGATTAAGAATTTACATTTCGTTCAGTGGCAACACATCATGTGGTATGAATGATAATTGCATGATCGTGTAGTATAGCATTACGTAACGTAACATAACAGTACAAAATTTTGGTAAAAATATGCTACATTCATTTCTAATGTCAAGCTTTACTTTAGATCCACCAATGCATGCAAGGCTAACAAAGCCCTCTTTTCAAACGATATGAATAAAATGTACAAAGAATTGAAAAATGGGAAAACTCGGCTTCTACACACTAAACATATGCAATATCATGCATTTGCAATGAAACAGAGTGTGAAGAGTCAAATAAACACAAGACGAATAATGAATGGGAAAAAAGAATAGTCCAAAGGAAAGAAAAGGCTTCATATTAGAACAAAAGCAAAGCGAGAGGCGTGAAAAATGTGATTGTTTTCACGCTGTATTTTTTCGCCCGCAGAAAGTCCTTAAGAGATGTAGAGAGATATTAGTAAATCCTTTTGTTCTATTTCCATAATGCATTTTGGTAATTTCTCTGGGAATGTAGGAACGTCACTCATGTCCTTTACATATTTTACGATATCTTTTTTCTTTTCGCCCCCTTTTCTAGATTTAAAAAAAAAAACTGTTAACTGTAAACATTCTTTTCTTGATTTTGCTATTATTGTTTATTATTACTTTTTATTAAATTTATTTATTTATTAATTATGATTATTACTCGAGAAAATTGTACAAGAATTAGACAAAATATTCTACCTCTCTTTTGTCGATATTCTTCCCCAGATTATATCTGTACCTTGAAGAAGAGGGATACCCATCGAATCTTCTCAAAGTGCATATAATTTATAAGGTATTTCTCCCGCCTTCTTACCATGCGTTTGTAGTGTAGTGGTCAGTACTCTCGGCGCGTATTCGAGAGATCCGTGATTCGAGTCCCGTCGAGGGCATTGCTAATTTTTACGACTCCAGACCAAATATCCAAAGATCTCTACAGTAGCGCCCGAACTAAAAGGTGCTTAATGATGATTCTCAACATCCAGGATTTCGCGATTGGGTCCTCTTAAACCTCAGTCGCCCTTTGAAAGAGAGAGAACAAAGGTATTTCTCCCACCTTCTTGGCGTGCCTTCGTGGCGTGGTGATCTGCACGAGCCGTATTCCAGAGGTCCGTGGCTCGATTACAGGCGAAGTCATTGCATATTTTTCATCTCTCCTGCTTTAAAAAATTCTGATGTCCTACAATGTCTAAAAAATCCTACAGTGTCGCCCGAACTAAAAGGGCGGTGGATTATGATTCTCCACCCCCAGGATTCGGCAACTAGGTCCCGTAATCCCCAGTCGCCCTTTAAAAGGGGGAGTATATAAGATATTTCTCCCACCTTCTTAGCATGCCTTCGTAGTGTAATGGTCAGCACGCTCGGCGCGTATTCGGGAGGTCCCTGATTCGAGTCTCCGCGAAGATGTTGCTCATTTTTCATGTCTCCTGCTTCCAAAAAAAACCTAATGTTTCTTCAAACTTATCTCTGAAATAAATGTTGAGTCTAGTGATATGCCTTATAACGAAACTAAAATTTTGTTATGTGGGAGTACACTGGGCGATACAAGAGAAAACAAGCGATGAAAACTGTAAATAAAAATATTATAAAATTTAATGCTGACCACAGTTTTCTAAACTCAGGGGACTTTACCAAGGCGAATTTCAGTTAGTTTGTAACTAAGGTTATCGTTACTAATCTCTATATCTAGGAATTTACTGGACGAGGTCCACGAGTCCATTCACCTTCAGAAAATCGAAAACAAGCTTGGGAGACTTGTAAAGGTCTTCAAGAGACAACTCCATCCACTCAAGGATATGTGCCGGTGATGCCGGTGCATTTTGACATTTAGAACGAATTGGGTGCATCTGAAGACCTCAAAAGACCTTCCCCACCATTATTAACTGAGGTTTAATAATTTACTGATAATACTTCGCGTTCAAATTTTGAAGAGTTCTTGTTCATTAAATTTCATATTTATGATTCTTGAGAAAAGAAAAAAATTCTTAAAAACATTTCTGCAAGATAAAAACAACAGATAAATAAATACGAAAGTTTAACAACGAGTAGATTATGATGTTTGAGTTTTTTTAAAAGGCTATTAAAGGCTACTAACTTCACTCATGGCGAATGATAGGATATAAATGAGAGATATTATGTTTTTAAAAGAGACTACTTGTTCATGTTCGTCTGCCTAACTTATCTACTATCAAAGCAACAGATCTTTCTTAATGTATCCAGAACCATAGCATTCAAGCTTACACCTGTGTAACGAAATAAGCGAAGAAATTCACCCTGATTGGAGTAACTGACGAAATAAGAGGAAATATTGAAAAGGATGTTAGAGTATTACAAACAAGTATTGTCAAAAATAAATAGTTAGATTAAAAGTATACATATTATGCCAAAATTCAATATTCTCCTGAACTCAACTTTTTGTACAAAAGCGTAATGGCTGAGAGTACACACTATAATAAAATGGTTCACACACTATAATAGAATTAATACCCAGCGCCGATATTAGAAGCTGTTTTAATGACGTCAAGAATGCAAAACCTAGACAGAATACGTATTATTTCAAGGATCTGTATCTGTCTATCTTCTCTTTGTGCTCTACCTCTAGACCAATCAGACGAAAACCAAGAATTGCTATCCATGACTTGCCGGAATCAATCACACCGCAAACAGTACTTTCAGAACTCAGCGGAGCCACGGGATTGCCAGAAACAACATTCACGATGCGATTCCGTCTCAGGGAGCGACGGAAGGGATACATTAAATGGATTGTTGAATGTGACTCCCCAGGTTTTGCTGCGGTCATGCGTCGGCGAAAAATTTTCGTCGGCTGGCAAGCTCACAGAGCCACTGAATTTATTGGAATTAAAAGATGTTACTCCTGTCAGCAATATGGCCATGTGCAAACAGAATGCAAGAGTAAGCGAAAATACTGCTCCTACTGTGCAGGAGATCACGGGCTCAAAGATTGCACAGCTCAAACACCTGAATGCATCAACTGTGGCGAAGCCAATAATCGTTACGGTACCAGATATGACTTCGCCCATCCCGCCTACCACCCCGATTGTCCAGAGTATCAACGTCGCGTCCAGCTCATCAGGGCAAACACAGACTACTAACTTCAATCCTTATAGTCTAGCATCAGGTAACTTAGTATCTGATTCTTCATTGGATCATATACAAAAAGATCTTAATACCACTCTTCTGCAACGAACTTTACCGACGGAATGTCTACAAATAAACCTTCAACATGCTCGAGCTGCGACGGCACAGACTGTAGAATATGCTACTTCTGAGCATATTGACTTCATCTTAATCCAGGAGCCGTATTGTCTAAATGGTAAGGCGGTTGGCTTTCCACTGCACTGGACACTATATCAAAAGGAAGATCCTTTACTTCCACCCCGTGCAATTATTGTCAATTGTAATTCTTCCTGGTCTCCTTTACTTGTCACTGCGCAGCGAGATATTGTTGCTGTTCTTCTGGAAGTTCATCATCTGACAGTCCTTCCTGGTTTCCATTTATTCCTCACCGTCCTCAGAAATCGAACCTGTGCTCTCTGCGATGCAAGATTTACTGACCTCAATTCAAATTCCAAATTTGCTCTTTTCTGGTGATTTTAATGCTCATAATGTTTCGTGGGGATATGCTACTACGGACGTAAAGGGTAGACTTCTGGAAGATTTTATATCCAGTTTTAATCTCGTGAAACATAATTCACATGATGCTCCTCCGACTTTTGATCGTCAACATTCACATGGTTGGCCAGATTTGACTTTGTCTACTTTGCCTATGGCCTCTCTTCTTCAAGATTGGCGAGTAATTGAGGGTCTAAGTCTATCAGACCATAACTATATACGTTTTTCACTCGCGGGAACTACAGCCACCTCAATCATACGGCGTTATAATTTACCTGGCCGAAAGGTCAGACAGTTTACTGCAGCCATTCAAGCCAATTTGGCCTCTTATCATTCTCGTCTTCAATCTCTGCATTCTCGTGAAGATCTACAAAATTTTACTAGTGATCTTATGGCTACCATTCGAA